TTTGCGTAGCTGATAGAGCTAGCAACATCTCTGATGGTAATTTTGTGCTTTCGTTCTAGTGTTGAAAGGAATATATTAGAATAATTAATTTTAGATGAACTTCGAAATTATTTGAACAACGCTCGACAATGAAGTTCTACGACACTGACTCGTAACGCCGGTGTGAACGTGGCTTTAAATGGAAAATTTAAGATCCGTATAATTATATCTGAATCGATCACAATTCGCGACAGTTCGTCGAATATTTGAGCTATCCTTAAATCTATGGAAACCTACAGCTATTACTAAAACGTCGCTGGTCGTTTTGGAAGAATAAAATAGTTTCGTAAAGATAATATATTATTACAAGACAGAGAAAGAGAGAGAAAGAGAGAAAGAGATGAAATATTAATTTGATTAAATCCTAAATCTAAAGTCTATGTTAGACTCTGAAATAAGTTCGTTCGTATTTTTTCTTAAAGGAGAATTTTTTCGTAAATTTCGTAGATTTTTATTATCACTCGCAAATGGACAAAACAACTTGAAAATGTTTTCACTCTTTGAGTTGAAAAAGCTTCGATATGTGTGTTTTCGTTTCGTGAACAAAATTTGTCAAATCGCGTGACGATTATTAAAGGAAAGTTTCCAAAAAATATCGAAACAATTAATAATAATATATTAGGTTGATAACAATTGGAGATTCTTGATGTTATTAATATTATTATAACAGTATTGGTGCAATATTATAAATATACAATAAATTCGATATTTTTCTTACTTAGGAAAAAAGAAATTTTTTTTAAATATTAAAACAATTGAAATGATATTACTAACTATTAAATGAACATAAATTTGCAACGTTTTGATCCTAAATCTATGACTTGAAGAAAATTGTGCATTTAAAGATTAATTAATGATATAATATTAATTAAACAATAATAATGTAATATTATATTATATTATAATATAATATTAATATTTTATAATATATAATATAATATTAATTAATAATGTAATAATAATCAATAGTTAATTAATAATAATATGAAAGAAATTGTAGAAATCTACTCATGTAGAAATAATTTATACTTAAACTTATAATAATATAATATAATATAATTTATACTTAAACGAGAAATGATCATTTTTGTCTGTAAATGATACATTTATAAACAATGTATAATTATATTGCTAGTTATACATACATCTATTGCAGTTAATGCATATAAATAACGATTTTATAATATTAATAAAAGACGAACGAACTTATGACTTAATATTACATAGTAGATAGACATATAGGTAAGGATAAAGAGTAGAAGAGACGAGAAATGTTAGTTAGGCTAAGGAGGTAGACGAAATAGGCATTATCCAAGGCAGAGTTAGGTGTCATTCGAATTTTCTTCGAATAAATATTTATCCAAAATAATAAATAATAATATTTATATAATAATAATAATAATAATATTTATATTATTAATAATAATTATATTTATCCAAAATAATAATATAATAATAATTGGGACTTTTATGCATTCACAGGAAATTTTAAACTGCAAAATTGCATGAAAATGTCTAAACTATAGGGTTTTCAATAATATTTGACACGTTTGAAGCAATTTTTTATTAACATTCTATTTTTTTTTTTTAATTGCATTCTCAAAAGTACGAATTTTCATAAAAATCCGAATTTAGTAATATGAGTTTAATAATCAAAATAATGATAATAGTAGAAAATAGTAGAAATAATAATAAAAAATTCCCTTTTGTCGAACTACTTACAGGTAAAATTTATTATTTATAATACTTGCAGGATCAATAATCTTGTAATTAAATTTCGTTCGAATTTCACAGTTTTGGCCAGAAACGTACAAAATATTAAAGAATTTAATGTCCAGTCGACTATGGATTCGTGTTTCATTTGTTCGTGATAAAAGATATAAATAAACTTTCGAGTTTTTATTCGGATAAATATTTGTACGAATAAATTCTTATTCGATTGGATATTATTCTTTATCTGTTGTTCGAATAATATTTCTTCTAACGCTGATCCAAGGGTAAGCCTTCTCTTTCACAACTGTGTCGAGCGTATCTTTCAAAAACGACGCGATGAAATTTCGTTTCGATATCCAGGGTTTATAGTAATGCGAATTTGTTTTTCTTTTTTTAATTTCGTTATAAACTGTGACTGTGAAAAGATACATTTATCTTTGATAGATCTGCTATTCATAAATTTCCTGTTACAATCCTTACAATTCATAATTATTAATTAATAATTATTAATATCTTCCAGTAAAATTTATTTACATTATTTACATTAAAAATTAAAATTTACCCTTTTCGTTTTATTTCCTCGCTGTTTCGTAAAATCGTAACATTCTAATCGAACTAATTTATATTAATAAATCTTAATTTTAATTTAATATTAATAAATCTTATTGGAAGAACAATTTCACGAACAGTGAAAAAAAAAATGAAACAGAAAGGGTAAATTTCAATTTTTACAGTAAAAACGTGCTCGTACGTTGCAAATAATTTCCATATTTTTGAAGTAGTTGACATAATTGATTATTATTATTGATATATATTGTGGGACAACAATTTCACAAAATGGTCCCAAAAAAGTGAAAAAATGAGATAAAAGAGTAAATTGAAATTTCAAAGCAAAATGTACTTTGCGTTGAAAATTATTACGAATAGTTTCCACATGCTGATCATTATTATTGATCATTATTAGTATTATTATTATTAATCGTTGATCGTTATTAATGTTATTATTATTAATCAATTTTACTGGAAGAGAAATTACTTGAAAAAAAAAATACAATTATTAGTATTATTATTATTAATCATTGATCATTATTAATATTATTATTATCAATCAATTTTACTGGAAGAAGAATTACTTGGAAAGAAAAATACAATTATTAGTATTATTATTATTAATCATTGATCATTATTAATATTATTATTATCAATCAATTTTACTGGAAGAAGAATTACTTGGAAAGAAAAATACAATTATTAGTATTATTATTATTAATCATTGATCATTATTAATATTATTATTATCAATCAATTTTACTGGAAGAAGAATTACTTGGAGAGAAAAATACAATTATTAGTATTATTATTATTAATCATTGATCATTATTAATATTATTACTGTTAATCAATTTTACTGGAAGAAAAATTATTTGAAGGAAAAGAACACAATTTCAACGTAAGATTAAAAGTTAAATTTGATGTGAAATTAGTCTTAAATAAGTTTGAAGGATACGATTTTGAAATCACGTTGCTACGTGCCGTTTTCAATAATCGAGAAAATGGACCCGTTAACGAACCGTTGCGTTGCAACCGGAAATAGAATAGAGACCGGAATCGAGCACCGATTTGATTTCACTACAGAAGAAAAAAAAAACTCCCCTCTATGTATCATTCATGAACGTGTCATGAAAAAAGCAAACTGAATACGTAAAACGGACATGTAAAGCAAGCGCAATGAAATTTCTATACTTCTGCAAATATTGTAGCTAGATTTCCCATCTCTCCTAAACTGATAATCTTTTTCGCATATGTGGGTTAATACTTTTTCGTAAAAAAAAAAAACATCGAATTGCATTAAAAAAAAAAAAAATATGATTTCATTTGGAAGAGCGGAGGTGACCTTGAGATCTTGAAAACTTTAACAAATCTGGTGATCATTTAAAGTGTCCTGTTTGGAACAGAACAACTTTCATTTTATGTAGTTCTCGGTAAATTTCTAATTTATCGGCTTTCCCCAATTTATGGCTATTGTAAAATTTTCTTCTTTTTCACTCTTTATATTTTTCAACGTTCGTTTTTGAAATCTCGACACTGTGGTTAATCGGAAACTGTGGTGCGCGTCGATAAATTTATCCCTCTTCTATACCCTAGTCGTCTAAAAATTACAATTTCTGAAAAAATAGTTCGCTTCTTTCTTTATAAACTTCTTGCTACTTTCTTGCAATGTTACAATTATTCTTTCACCTCGACACTTTCGGTGCTTGAATCGGAGAAAATTTGTTATCTCATTTCACGCGAGAAATATTTGAAACATTTTTTTCTTTTTTTTTTTTTTTCTTTTCACGTGACGTCGATTATTTCAAATTTTATTTGTCTGTTTTCAATCATTTCGCGTTCGTAAATTTATTAAGATGATTTTTTTCACACGGACCGAAAGAGTCGAGTTTACAGCATTAACAAAATATATTTTCCATCGGAAAACTATTTTTCATTTTCGATCATTGGCCTCTGGTTCGCTATTTATACGGAGTTTCGTTCTTTCGTTCTTTAAAAGGGAAAGGAATTACGTTACGGATATTTTCATAGTACTAATTCGTTACATTTGGATGATATTGAAATGATTAAATCCGTAAACCTCGAGAATTTGCCATTGCGCATTCTTCAACGATGCTAAATTTTAGTAAACTATTAATTAAAATTGAACAATTTCACCAAAAACTGGTGTTTTGATACTTTTGGAGAGCGTTCTTTGTTTATTGAATAAAAATTTTGATAAAACGTAGTTTAAAATAGATGTATTTTGAGTGAAGCTTCTCTGATTGTGAGAAAAAATGCCATGTCCGGACACTTCTATTTTCAATAATCATTATCGTTTAAAATTCTCAACACTTCTGATTATATGTAATGTTTCCTTGTTCTTTTTCGATGATGCACAATGCATAAAATACAATTTCAACATTGTCTCCCTTTCTTTTCACGTATACATAATAATAATGTGTAGATATCATACATAATAATATAACACCATGTAATACCTATACATAATAATGTATAGATGTCAAATTGATAAATAAAATCTTTCTAACAAAATAAATGTATGGAATATAATTTTGGTCATTTCATAATACAAACAGATTAATGTACATATCATTACGTACATTATATATTAAATTATATAATTATACGTATTATATAATAATATAATGATATTGTTAACACAAATACAATAATGTAAACGTAATATATAATAATAATATAATATGAACACAATAATATGCAATTAAACTAAGATTCAATTAAATTACATAATTCAGTCACAGTGCAGCTGATCGTGACAGTAAGACGTGATTTAACAAAAGTACTACATATACACCAAACCAAATGTTCTGCAACTTAATCAATTTTGTCCAAACTGCGACTGAGATTTTTCCTTACAGCAACATTTCTCGTGCCTACACACAAGTAGCCTTGTACCCAAATACAACGTCAGGAGTCTTGCTGCAAGACGGTTGATCCGTATAGTGACCAATACTGTTGTTACTCTGTCTAGGCCTACATTTGGCAAATATCTCCTGCATTCTGCCTTCACACTCCGCTTCTTCAGCGCACGCGTCCCCGATCTTTGCGTTGCTGCTGCTCAAACGTCGTTCCATCCGCGTGTCGTTCGTCGCCTCCTCGTCCTTTTCCAGAAAACTGCACGTGCTCACGCGTCTCTCCCTCGTCAAGCACTTGCCATAGGACAGATTAGGCCTGGCCAGAACGTCCATTCTGTCGAAGTGGTAAGCACTGCCCACGCGATCTCTCTGCAACGGTCTGGCCAACACGTCGGTCCTGTCGAACTGACAGATACTCCCGCCGCGGTCTCTCTGCAACGGCCTGGCGATCACGTCCATTCTGTCGAACTGGCAGACGCTCATTCCGCGGTCACGTTGCCAGGTTCTCGGCGAACAGTCGAACTGACAGATGCTCATCCTTCTGTCTCGTATGGGAGGCTTGGTCGTCTCGATTCTGTCCGACTGGCACACGCTGGCCTTTCGTTCGCGTAGCAACAGTCTCGTGGACTCGTTGGCCGGCTTGCAGCTTCTCGACCCAGCTTCCTGCTCGCCGGTGGAGGAGTCGGGCGCCGCGTTGCTCTCGGAGAGTATCAAGAACTGAAGATCGAACGCGCTCTTCGTGCGACGCGGTGTACCTTGACTGCCTGGGAGCAGGGACGCGCTGGAGCCAATGAACACGCTGTTCTGCCTTGGTCGCGTTTGGCCGGAAGCTTGGTAACTCAATTCGTTTCCTGTTGGACAGTCTCCGCAGAGTATGTTGCATTTGGAGAACGTATGCCGGTTCTGGGAACAAACGAGACAGTGATCTGTGAATTGGTTCAGTTGTCATTTGTCAGATATCCGCTTATTTGTTGAACAGGAATGTAGGTGATACTTTTTTATCAGTTAGTTCGCTATGATGCTTGTATATGTAATAATAATTTATAGAAATTTGTCATATTTAATTAAAACGTCCAAATGTATAATTGAATATACTGTAATCGTTTGAATTATTCATATACTTGATTGAATGTATTATATTCAATTAAACCATTCACATGTTTGATTGAATATATTATATTCAATTGAATTATTCATATATTCAGTTGAATGTATTTTGTATATTCGTTGGAAAATTCTCAGTTGGATATGAATGAAAAATTAGATAAAATAATATAAAATAATTTAAGAAAACACCAATGTAAATATAGTATAAAGACGTAATATGTTTAATAAATAATATAACAGAAAATTCATTATCATTGTATAATACAGTGTACTATAATACAATATAATACATTATACTATGTACAATATAATAAAAGATATCATAAAGATTTTATATATTATGTAATACAATATTATTATTCATTATATTTAATATAATACAGTATAATATATAATATAATATAACATATTTTGTACAATAGAGATACTTTATATCATTATAAATAATACAATAGAAAATCATTGTATATAATGCATATAATACAGAAACACACAACATATATTTAATATGCAACATCATCATAAGTAATAAAACAGAAAAATTCATCACATGTAATATAGGACAAAAACATAATATAGGTGCTTCATAGACAATGTCACTTTAAACAACATAAAAGAAAATTCATTATCATCAATAAGAAACTCATTGTCACCAATAGTTACGTATAATTCATTATATACATATGTACATATAATATATAATAACAGAAAAACATAGTATGCTTTCATATAAAATTAACAAATTACAAATATATATATATATATTTTGGCTACTTCGTAACATATTCTCCTTGCAAAGAAGTAAAGAAACGATGCTGACAAATCCGCAACATTAGCCACAGTATCATTTGAGCGTGTTATTCGAGTGAAAGGAGAATGTATGCCACGTATGTAACTCAGCTGATGCCACTTGCTACTCTATAGAAGTAATATACCATGCAAGCTTCACGGAACACGAATAGGGCGTATAATCAGGAAATTTCCTCGCTCATGACGAGCGAGCCTCCCGTTCAAACTAGATTTCAATAATTTACATTCCATCGTGTAGGTACTGGAGAGAAAAAGACAAATGTGTTCGCTCTATCGCGACAATATCGCAGAATATGTCTAGTTGAAGTTAGAGATTATTATTTGTTAAAAAAAAAAAAATATATATATATATATACACTCACGCTGTATACCCTATAAAAATTTTTCTTTTGACTTAATTTCATTACTAATCTCTGTCAAGAAGAATATAAAATGTAAGATCAATAAGTTGAACTTTTGTAATAAAATAGTAATTATTAATTATTATAGTCACCTTGTAACCTTAGGATATATTACTTAAGAATTCAAGGAGTGCATAAAAAAAACATTGATTTAAAATGAAACTATAAATACTAAAATTATGAAAATTTATTTTATTTTCTTCTTAAAAATGATCAAATTTATCAACTTCTATTTTTTACTAATTTCTCAAGAGGTTATATAACAGTGTGGTTGGTCTTAGTTGAAAAAGTAAAGTTTCATACTTTTACAATCAATTTTAATCAATTTTTCTTTCTTTTGAATTAATTTTATATCAATTTTGTGTCAATTTTTCATATTATTTTCATATTAATCAATTTCATATTATCGTATCAAAATTTTACAATATATAGCGAATGGTTTCTCGAAAATTCAAACGTCTCGAAAGAATTAAACAATATTTTTCACGATTTGTATAATTTCTTTTAAAAGTTCATTTTTGAACAATAATATATTTCAAATTTATAAACATTCTTATAGAATAATGATACAATAAAGAAAGTTTACTTCGTTTTAATAAAATTCGATAAATCCTTGGATTGATAATACAATATAACTACGGATTTTTATGCAAATTCATATTTTCATAAATAAAATTTCGAAAAGTAGAGCTAGATGGAAAAAAATTGTTTCCTCTATTAATTATTATAAAGAGTATTGCACTCTGGATATTTTATATCCTTTTCCATTCTATGCACTTTGACATCTTCAAATTTCTTATAAATGCATAAAAATCAATAAATGCAAAAAAAGATATAACTATAACATACAACGAAGAGAGCATCAAGAGACATTGAACCATTATCTCCAGTAATATTTGAAATAAGCGAAATAAATCAAATAAAACATTTTCCAAAATTCCCATCATCCTTTAAATAAGGATACCATTTTAAAAACTTATTTTTCACGACAGGCAAAATATTTTTCAAGTAAAACAGATTATCTCTATTTTCGAATGTTCGTATTTGATCGCAAATTTCTTGCCGGGGCTAGTATTTTATCGAGCTTGATTACAGAAACACCGTGTATAAGGGGGTTAGTTCCTCTCGTGGCCTCAGCAATCTCCAATCAAGGTTTCGTGGCAGCCTTTCTCCAATACGACCCCGAGATAGAAGAGTAGTGGTTTGCTGGTGAAATTGGTGGCTCCAAGAATCCGGATACTATGGTTTTCACCAACGACACACGTCCAAGTAACGGAAACGTACGACCATGCAATCTTGCCTTTTTTCTTCACGTTCGACACGTTTGATTTAGAGCAATTCTCATTAGTAGACTGAAAAAATTTCATCCGTTTTGGAGATACGAAAATGGATAAAATGTACATAATGTAGTATAAAATATATTAAATAGAATTTATTAAATTTTTCATTGATATTTAATTAATATCATTAATAATATAATATAATTTCATTAATATATGTGTTATAATATATATTATATAACCTTAGACCTTTTTATATCATATAACCTTAAATCTTCTAATATATAATATAACCTTAATATATTACGGTCCCCCGTGATATTGAAAATACAGTCAAGAAGGCTACTGCATAAAAAAGTAAATCGAAAATAAAGAACAAATTTCTTTCATTCATTTGAAAGCTCCGTTCTCAAGAAAATTAAGTTTGAAAGTTTATCAATTGTAGTTGAATTTAGCTAATGGTGAACTGGCCAGGAATAAGTAATGAACAAGGAATTAGTCTGTTCTGTAAAAGTAAGTGAAAAGCGTAGAATACAATTTTCGTTTTTGAAAAGAGAATTTAAAACTTTATCAATTACAAGTTTATTAATTAAACTTAACCTAATTTTTAACTGAACGTATTCAAACCGTTTTCACGAAAGTGAGATCTTAGGTTCTATCCTATCTTAATTCGCTTCTGCAGTCCAGAATTAGCGAAATTCTGATAAATTCTGACATAAATAAAATTCTGACATAAATAAAAAAAATTTTATTCCCTGTTTCTGATGTATTTTCTTCGCGTAGAATCATTATCTTTTCGACAATATTCGGACACCCTGTATACAGTTGAACTCCTATAACTTAAAAACTTTCTTCGCTCCCTTCCGCTATAAAAATCTCCGGAACTCGAATTCGCAAGAAGTCCTATCTCTACAAGTGAAAGTTTATCATAGCATTGAAAAAGTATGGTTTCTTAGCAATATTTTTGCGAACACAAATGATACATTAATCACACTATTCTATAAATAGTAACAAACGTATACAGTAGCAATTTCCAATAATGAGTTGTACTATAATGATGCAAAAAGTATAAAAATTCTGAGAAAGTGAAGAAAGTATCTATGTTTCACAATTTTCAGAATTATAATAATTCAAAGTATTAATTTTATATTAATTTTGATAGTATAATAGTGTATAATAGTAGTGTATAATAGTAATTTTAGTAGTAAAGTTATTAATTTTATATTAATTATACCAATTTTATATTAATTTTTTTTAAATTTTATATTATATTAATTTTTCATTTAAAGTAATCACAATGAAAACGTTGACTCTGCGAAAACAATCTGTATCTGTCAGAATAGTGATGACTATTACATGGTGGTTTTTTCAAGAAGCCAAAACACCATACGAATGAAAGCTATACATTTTGCTTTTCTTGTATTCTACATGCAAATACTCGATAAAATATTATTTATGTCAAAATTCCTCGTTTCTCTCACCACTGTGCTTGTTATTTTTGTCTAAAAAATATGCTGTCGAAACACGGAGGATAATAATTTTGTGAAATGCATGAGGACAATATTCCGTGAGAAAGAACGTGCCAAGAATAGTTCAGAAGTATAAAAATGGAACTTTTGTTGCGAATAACAAATCATGTTCTAGATGAATTCAGGGAATTAAAGATGTTGAATTGTAATTTCAACAGCAGTTTAAATTTCGTTAAAAGGATTATTCTATATATCAGTTCATATTAATAAGTAATATTAATTAACATTTATGATATTTTCATGACACGTTACACATTAATAATGACACATAATTAATGGCAAGACATTATATCAACATACATTTTACAATTAATGTTCAGTTTTAGTATTCAATGTATATACAATGTGTACAATATATACATAATATATACATAATATATACATAATGTATATAATGCACTAATACAATAATAGATATGTTCCTTTTTTTATGTAAAATGTATGCAATATATGAATGAATGAATGAAACAGTGAATTATAAAATTAAAGATATATTCATTTCTTCATTTACAGTATTTATATTATATAATGTATATTCCCATAGTATATATTACATATAAATATATAATATTGCATATATATTTATACACAATATTATATACAATATATTCAACACATACAATGTACTATTATAATATATAGTATAATATATTAGTATTATATAGTAATATATACTATTATAATATAAAGTACAATTATAGATATGTTCATTCCCATATTCAATGCATATACAATATATAATATTATGGTACATATATAATATTGTATACAGTGTATATAATACGTACAATATATATAATGTATTAATGTACACAATTACAGATAGGTATGTTCATTTCCCTTGTATAATTCCCTACAATATGCGTAAAATACCCTAAACAAGGAAATCCAAAGTTGACATCAAAAGTGATATCAACTTTGAGAATTTGCAAAATTTCTGTGCATTCCGCACACGTTAGGCACATATACAGAGAACGTGTATCCAAGCTTTTGGTCGATAATGTATCTCTTCAGCCCATAACCCGGTTCATCTACAGACGATCCGTTTCACATAGCGAGCTAAAACCATTGGCTTCGCACAGCATAATATTCGCATATTGGTCATAAAGGCATGTTACTGGAACTGGGACGACACGGATAATTGTCTGCTCTGTATGGCAAGGTATTTGCTTGTGAATGGGTTATTAGAAAATGAAAATTTGATGTCTGGGAATTTGGTAATAGTACGTTTCTGCACACGAGCCAATCAGAAAGCCAATGCGATCGATTCTGTTTCTGAAAAGGTACTGGAAATTTCTCCACTCTCGTATATTATAAATATACTATAATTATACCATAAATATTACCATAAATATGTCGAAACGACAATCACGATAAGAGATAAATTATTTTATAAATTACTTTATAATTATGTCATAAATAAACTTACTTTGAATTTAGAATTATTTCTAAATCATTATCGAATGAAATTCTGCATCATAGTTAAAATCATTATAATATTTAGTTAAAATTATTTTTAAATTATCATCAAACAAAATTGTTGTAGATGTAACTTCGAACGTGAAGTAAAAATTATTATAATATTTAGTTGTCAAATTATTGTCAAATAAAATTGCGTACTACAATGTTGAACATTCATAATGTGAATTGTAATAACATGTGTTACGGCAAGCTCGGCTGTGTTGAACGTTAGTTGCTGTCCGCTTCGCTCGTCGCTCTCTCGTCGTGCCTGTTACAGCCTCCGGAGAGATATTTTAATGAATGAAGACGTGATGTAGAAT